GGAATGCTTGTTAGTAACTCTACAGACTTTATAGGTTGTTATATCTCCTTGAATTCATTCTCTGGCTGTCTTTTTGCATAAAGCTTGTTACATTTTATTTTTTTTTTTAGACTCAGTCTTGTTTTCCTTAAAACAGGTAATTTTTTTTTCCATTTGAATCCGTTACTGATGTGTGAGCTAACCACGGGGGTGGTAGTTATCTTTGCCTGTGTGATACAGCATAGTGCTTTGAAACTCATTCTGTTAGAAGATGCACGTTTATTGAGATGGGGTAAGGGTCTCAATTTCAGTCTCATGAACTAGACACGGTTTTCCTTTTAACTACAAAGAAGAGGAGTCTGTCTTCAAATACGTGGTATCTTTTAAAAGTCAACAAACTTAAATTGAACTTAATTAAACTTAATAATATTAAACTTAGTATTTTCTAGACTTTCTTTTCAAAAGTTTGCTTATGCTCGCTACTGAACAAAATCACAATCCATCACAAAACTTGAACGTTGGCTGAGGAAAGAGACTGCTTGAGAGGAGAGTAGTAGTTGGATGTTGAACGTTGGCTGAGGAAAGAGACTGCTTCAGAGGAGAGTAGTAGTTGGACATTTAATACATTGCCTTTGTTTAGAAACTAGATCTAATCTTCATGATGATTTTGAAGATCAACTTTGAAGGACAAATTTTACCACTGACTGTTCCGAAGTATTTAATGATCTAACTAAAACCCAATGTTTTGAAATGACTTTTCAAAGTGTTCCATATGATGAGGAGACAGGATAGTCTAGGGCATTGTGAAGTGGGATATATAAGGCACACACAAGTTGTGTAGGAGAGAGACTCATGTGTGCATGGCAGACTCTTGATTTATCCATAGATTAGTGCAAATCTCATTACAACTGGCTTAAATGTAAGCAGGATAATAGTTTTCGCCTGCCTTTCCCAAGCCCTTGAAGATGTGCAAGTGTTGAACAAGATCAATGCATTATTACTCGTTTTTCTGATCATTGGAAGGTGCTAAGGCCGACAGAGTTAGACTAGTTAATTTTTTTTTTGTCGCATCTGTGTTTGAGGTTCATAGAGTGAAAGTTTCAGACCCTATGTTTGGAATTAAATTAAGCTTTGAGCCATTTCTAATTTGATCAGTGCCACTCATTCAATTTAGTAACCTGTTCATGCTTTGCTTTCTGTTTTAACAAATATTGATTACCCAGGTAAAAAGTGGTTAAAGGCCATTAATTAAAATAATCCACAGAGGTTAGAAAGTGCAACTTAATCAGAAATTTAGATTTGAAAACTAGTTAAGGTTTTTCCAATTTCTATTTTGAGATTATAGGAGGAAACAGTTTTTATTGTAGAGTGAATTAGAATGATGTCTGATAAAATTATGGTGTCCTTGTTATGGGAACAGTATAAGGTTTTGTGTCATTAATGATTAATTTCCTTGATTACAAGAGAGTGTTTTAAACTGTACATGACAGGATGAATACACTTACCATTCAGCAATCTTAATTGGTATGTCAGGCAATCCTCCAGTGGTTGGGGTCCCCCCCCCCTTTGGAATACGTTGTGTAATTTTGAATATTGTAAATGTAGTTACGAAATTTCTTTGACAGATTTTATTACACATTTGAATCTAATCACAATACCCACAGGCAACCTGGCAAAATAAGGTGATTCTTCTGGAAGTTAGCCTATCCCCCCAATATTGCAAGCAGACAGCTTTTTAACTTTAAAGCAACGTGGTACCATCAGGCTTGGGGGTGGGGGTTGGAGATCCTTATCAATACCAAACAGACAGATACTGATTTTTCAAGGTAATTCATAGATACATCATTTAGGATTCTGTGTGAATGTGAGCATCTGCTTGTCCATGTCAAAATACCGGTGCATTTTCTCAAGATAGACGTGACCCTTTTAAATTTTTTTTTAACCTTCGGTTCATAAGTTTTTCGTTTGGTAGTGTTTTTGTCCACTGAGCATTTGGTTTCTTAATTTTTTGTTCACAGGGTTGGTTAGTAATGTGTCTTTTGCTAGCATTGGGGAAGTAGGAATGAAATAGTGGAGACGACAAATAAGTAGATTAATTTCTAGGTTATATAAAGAAAGCAAGAAGCCTTCTTTCTGTCTTTCCCCTCTTTTCCCTCCCTATTTCCAACTTGAATGTTTTGACCTGCGATTGATTGCTAGTTGACTCAAGAAGATTCCTTTCCTTAAGAGTTTAAACATTACGTTACACTGTTGGCTTTGCTATGTTTTTTCTGCCTGCTGTCTGAAAAGGAATATTTGTGTGTCTTGCTGTAACATAAAGATTGAGTAATTTTTTTTTTTTTGGTGTACTTCTGCTATAATGAGGAACATACCTGTTTCCCTGTGAGGGCTAAAAGCGTTTAATTTTTTAAAAAAAAAAATGTATGTATTTAAATTTGGATACTAATTAGTTATCAAAGTAGCCAAACCACTAGAGATCGTTTTTAGAATATAAAGGAGAAACTTTTAAAATGCGTTTGGCCATGATTGTTCAGTAAAATCGGCTTGCTACTGGTGTGTTTCTTTTTTTTTTTTTTTAAAAATTTTTTTTCTCTCTCTCTCTCTTTTTTTTTTTTTTAAAAAAAAATAATCCATGTTTTCTCACTGTTGCTTTCAGGTAAGATGTGATTTATATGATATATGCAGGAAGATCAGCTCCTGACATTTCTTGACCTAAAGTTTGACTTGACATGTAGAAAGACGGAATTACCGAAAACTATGGCACTACTGACTACTGTAGCCTGAGAGCTGAGCATCTATGTGTGTGATTGGTAGCACTAAGTGACCTTAATTCTTTACCATAGCAAAAGCAGCAGCACAGCATGCTCTATGTGGCTTTGTATGTCGCTGCTCTGGGTCATCTGACTTTGGGTTTGCACCTTCCCCCAGCTCCCCATTTCATTTAACCACTTCCTCAGGAACTGACGTGTCTGTTTACACTGGTTGAAAGAAGTTTTCCTTACCTACCTGTCTGCTTTTCCACTACTGGATTGAGAATATAGGCAAATAAAAAAGCATGCATTTTTTAACCTCCAAGTTTTTCAGCGTGGAATTTGATTGCATAATCAAAATACTGAACTGTAAGCCAATGTGGTCGAACATAACAGGGGAGGTGAATTACATGCAGATGAAGCTAAACACATTGCTCTCTGACAAACATTCTTCAGTCTTAGGAATCTTTTGGGAACTTCAGTGACCTATGACCTATTTATTCTATGAAAAATTGTTCACCTACCTGTGTTTTATATTCTTATTCAGTTGTTCTTAAGTTTTCCATTGTAATAGAGTGGTTCACTGTAACTGTGAAATTTCTTACTGAGACTGAGCGATACTTTTATTTAGTGACAAAGAGGGGGAAAACACATGTACCATTATACATGAGCACAAATATTAGTTGATTTCATAAGTTCACTCACTATGACAAAATGACTTATTTGTTTTCTCGCTAAAAACTTAATCCTTCTGATTTTGACTGAAAGGTAATAGCAGAAGAAATAACTGTGTTTTCCCATGTCATAAGGTGAAGGGTAGTTTGTTTGTTTCTTTCTATTTTTCTTTAAATATTCTTCGGAGTTGATTTGTATTCTCTTATATTTGACTGTGATTTGAGTCAGGCTAAGATTTGATACTGTTGAGACTTCTATTCATTGTGCGTCTGTTTGTTATGAGGGTATGAAACACTGAAAGAATGGTTAACATTTTTGTATTGTTAGTAATGCTTACCAGGAAACTTGCTTCCTTACAAATTTTCTTGCTTTGACTTAAATGTAGTTTAAATTTCATCTTTTCACGTTTTCCTCTAGTAGTATTATTTCCTCTAGTGTTAGCTGCTTTTTAAAACAAAACATTTTAAATAGTATAATTAAAAACCATTTCCCCTTCTGTCTGGTTTCGTTTTGACTAGAAGGCTGTTTTTCTGAAATAAGCAATAAGGATGTCTAATGAATGAAACATGTAAAATATTGTTAAATAGAATATTTATTTTTCTAATGTTAAACAGTTTAGAACAAGTTCAGTCCATTTGTGAACTTCTTGTAATGGGGCTGAGGGTAGGCTAGGAAGAAGAGCTTTATGTGAGATGAAGTTTGAAAACAAATTGGAATACTCTTTAAAACCTAAACAGTAAAACAGCTGGCTTATAAGTAAGGTGTAGAACATGTCTCTAGTTTTCAAAGCCTATGGTGTTCCTTTTTCCTCCATTCTGTGTCTAGAATGGGGCTTTAGCACACTCAAAAATTTAAAAAATACTCTGGCAACATTAACTTCCTTTTTCAGTCACCTGGTTTTCATTACAGTTATTGGAATTGACTAGCCTTAAGTTCTTAAAATGTGGAGCAGATACTTTTACCAGATGTGTATACACTTTAAACACACCACTCCCCCCCCCCCAAAAAAAAAAAAAAAACAACCCCAAACCCAACCCACAAACAAACCAACAAACCCCACCAAAACTCAGCCTCAAACCAAAAAAAAAAAAATACCAACCCAATCAACAAACATAGACTCAGTATTATTTAACTCAGTATTTAAGTTCTGGAACCTACTCCTAGGTTATAAAATAATGTTAGCATTCTGCTTGGACTTAGTGCACTTCTGTGTATGTTAGTGTCTGCCCTGTCTTGTGATTTTACCAGCATGTTTAGTTGAGATACTAATTTCAGTATTTTTGATTCCTCCTGAATGTAAACAGACAATGGGGTCAGATAATAGTAAAGCTTGCACATATGAAGGAAGGCCTTCCAAGGGTGGGAGGTGTGTGCATTACACCTGAGGCATTCACATCCTGAGTGAATGAGATTTGCATGGAGAAAACTCCTCAGCTGATTTATTCCATCTTTGAAAAGATGTTTTGCCTGGATCCAGAGGGGGTTCCAGAACTGCAAGTTCCGGTGGTGGGCAGAGCCTTTTTGCAACCCCGGCGTGTAAGCCCAGAGGAGGGACCGCATCCAACATGTTTGTCTCCTTGATATTTCTGATAGGCTAATAACTTCAGCAATTCCCTACTTAGAATACCAGCTTTGATAGATGACTCTTGGATGCCTGATGTCGCTTGTATATTGCATATGGGAAGTTTTAGGTGTTTAATTCAGAGCTGTTTTGGCAAATTACCTTAAGTTTTGTGTAGAGTGCTGAGTTTTGGGATGTTTTACCCTTGCCTGCAAGTAAAATGACTTAAAGGACTAAGATATTAGGGCTAGTAACTCAGTTCTGATCTGTGCCGACAAAATTCTTTTGGTAAATTATTCAGTCTCTCATTTTCCTTTTTTCAGTCTGTAAAATGGAAGTGGGCTCTGAGAAATGCTCTGAATCCTGTGACTGAAAAACTTTGCATTTGAGATATTATTACTACTGGGGTTTGCATAATTTTGGTTAAATGTTTGTGCAGGATTTTGTGTTCCCACCATTTGTGATTGTTTCTCAGGATTTTTGCTTGCAAATTTCTCTCACCTTTTGTTCGGGACCTTTGAAGGAGGTAGCTTTTAGTCTGACTCCTTAGGCCTGGTGTGTCACAGGCGGAAAGGTTGTGTTTCACATTTTGGTATGCAGGTTGTTGCTTCTTTTATCTTTAAGTGTTGTTACTGGAGACTGCCCAGCTCTTTTTTTGTTGCATTTGTGAGGCTCTTTTAAGAGCAAAACATAAAGTAACATTGTCCTGCTACCAAATCTTAATTAAACAGGGCACTGAGGCAAAATGAAATTAAAGGTATGGGAAAGGAAAAGTAAGTCTATTTCTGTAGAATATTTTAACAGTATTCTTGTTTTTTTTTGTTGGGGGAGGGGAAGATCTGCGCGCGTTTGTGTATATATATATATAAAAAATATATGTAGTATATATTTGTGTTTGTCAGCAAGTGCTTATGTTTGTGGGACAATTTGCTCAGCACAGCATCAGTATACCAGTGCAGCCACAACTGTGTAAATACTGTTCCTTGTGCAGATGCTGAGTGGAGTAACAGTGGCCTTTTTCAGTTTAGCTTCTATCAGTATAGCTGACCTACTGTGGCAACACAAACTGAGCTGAAAAAAGGTCACTTAGTCCAAAGATGTTTCTGTGCAGGTCATGATGTTATTGTAGCTTAACCATTTAATGATACAAGTAAGATAGTAGTGTTGGTAGAGCTCCTTTTGAGAACAAAGTCCAGGCCGTTTTGTAAAGGCTGTGGAGACTATTGGAAATAGTTTAATGGCCCTAATCTTTTTTTCCATTCAACGTGCCCTTAACAGAAGGACAAAAGTATTACTTTGCTGTGCTGGTGTTTTGTGGCCTTTTCTTTAGTGACGTAATAAAGGACTATTTTAAAACTTGGATGTAAGCGCGATTCTGTAGCCATGGTCTCAGTACACTTGTACTGGTGTGACTGGCGAAGTCACCGGTTTGTGTTGATCACATGGCTGTGCTACTGCCAGATCTCTGGTGGACACTGCATCTTGCAGGTTTCTTAACTTGGCTGCCTTACCGAAACTGCTTCCTGTTTGTCTCCTCCTCTTCCTGCTTCTTTTTTCTTTTGCCAGTTTCTAAATTATGCAGTGTGCTATTTAAACAGAACTATTAGTTTCACAGGTTGTTTGTATACTTTCACATAGCTGTAACTTTCCTACAGTGGAAACCTGCAGCTTTGTTGTGTAAGGAGTAGTGTTTGCCAGGAGCGTTCATGCTTCACAAGACTGCGCTTGGAGTTGGTTTTCAGTACGAAAAAAAAAAGATCAAGATTCAGAAGTACATATTTGAGTGATCATGAGGGTAAGATGGGGTGGGGGCCCTGTGATGAGAGGGCCAAACTGATTAGCCGTATCTTAGTCATTCTACTTGGCATAACTCGATGAACGTTATCAGGATGATTTACAGGAAGTGGAAGCTGGAGGGATGTCTCTGAATGTTCCTGTAGTTATGTATGAGTCTGTCTGTAGTGGTGGTTGGTTGTTTGCTCTCTTGGGGATGGATTGATACTCCTCTTCATTTAGAGAGCGCTTTGTAGGCTGTATAACAAGTACTCAGATTTCACTTAGAGAAATCATTCTGTAAAGGGATAGTATTTCCCCTTGCTATTACATGATGAAAAATTATGTTTCTAAGCTTCTGAATAAGCTGATATTTATGTGCAATGGTAAATGACTTACTGCTTCAGACAACATTGGGGCATTGCAAATTTGCTTTTTCTTTTCTTTTGACATGTTGTTATCATCTTTGCCTAACGACTTGAAGTTATTCTAAAAATACAGCAAAATGAGGCAGTTAGTAACCGTTGCAGTAGCCACTTTAGTTCAAGCTGAGAAAGCAGCCAGTGTTTCTTAGCCTGTATACCACTAAATAAGGTCTAACAAACACAGATAATTAAGGTTTTTTTTTTCATGTGGTTAAGATGTTTGTTGAACCTAACTTTATTCCAAGTAAGGGGTGCTAATGTAGTGCACCCCTCCTTTTTTTTTTTTAAATAGCACTAAAACAAATAAAAACCCAAATCCCGATTGGAATACTGATTATTGAGGGAAGACATATGTGCCTGTACAAATGGGTCTGAGAGTCTATTCTTGCGATTTGGTGTAGCTATCTGACCTGAAAGTCCAGAACACCCAAGTCTGTTTTAAGGGCCAAGTTCCAAGGATGTGTAATGTGCTTTGAATTGAGAAGGGATTTGCAATGGATCTGTGTCTCTTGTTTCTGGTTTACTTTTAAACCTAGTGCCTTCATGTCAGTACCACATCTGAAAGGAATAATATGCACTTTCTTTACAGATGAAGCCAAACTGTCTACCTTTTAATGTAGATTATAAGCAGTTCAGGACAGTGACTGTGCTTTTGCTGTGCATTCCATGGTGCCTGTCTTGTTGGAGTCCTGACTAATGCCTGAAGCTGCCAGCCTAATCTAATTTATTAATAGTAGGTAACAGACGGTAACTGCTTCAAGATGTGAATTGAGGAATACCTAGAAAGCCAAGCTTTAATGCAGGTATCTGCTGAGCCAACCTCAGAGAAATACAGAATGCAATCTTCAGAAACCTTTAAAAAAAAATCAGTTGTGTAATCCTCTCAGAATGGAGCAACTGTAGGTCACAAATTTAATACTGGCTTCTGTGTTTAATCTTAGTGGGAGTCACTTCCATGTTATTTGAGTCCTTTGTGGGAGGAGATGTTTGTGCAGAAGATAAACTACACATTTCTAATGTGATGCAATTGGAGCAAAGTTCTTCCTAAAAGTTAAACAAATGAGCCATCTTTTCCTATTCCCTGATGTGAAAGATGGAAAATTTTAGTGGATGCCATTTTTTTTGGCATTGTGCAGAGTTGGTGGACTTGTTTGCTGGCTTTGTGCAGAGCACTTAAACCTGGTGTGAACTCTGGAGAGTGAGCACTACTTCAGTATAATTTAACACTTGCAAGCAAGCAGTGCAGGTATTTAAAATACCTGAATGTGAAATTGTAATGGTCTATGCATGGTGGAAAGTAGGAATAATAGTTTGCATTGTAATGCTTTGACCTACTGGTTGAGAAGCAGTTCTGTCCACAGATGATAACATAGTGAAAGCAAAAATTTATTTCCAAGTGGGAGATTTCTGTTGGGATTTTAATGCTAGGAAGACTGTTTTGTGTTCCTGGCAAGGAAAGTGTAGGGTAGTGGTTTGTTCATGCAGCACTTAATCTGTGTTTAAGTGCATGAATGGTTTTGGCTTCTGTGTCCTTCTGGTTAATTTTTTTTTTACCTTTCAGTTTGTGTAATTCAGGAAAATGAAATTGTATCAGGTTAGACTGGTGGTCTGTTTAGCCCATTTTTAACTAGTGATGGCTATTTAAGGTCTTCCCTTTCTCTTCTGTTTGCAAGTGCCAAATGTTGATTTTCTTGATAACACTTTGGTCAAATTAGACAAACTTCTTCCACTTTTCTGACTTGAAATGTAAGCCAAAACAGCTCTACGTGGCTGCCCTCTATCACAAAATTACCATCACACTTGTGGGAACCCATCAACATTAGAAATAGGAAAATTTGTCTTTGAAAAACCAAGACCAGAAGATTGAGATGTGAGAAAATGTGTTTTTCAAGTAAAGTAATAATTGCAGCAGTTGAAAGAAACAATTGTGGCGTCCTTACTGAAGAGTTTAAAATAGTTACTTTAAATAATATTTCTGTGGAATGTGCTTTTTTTCCCCGTGAACATAGTAAAATTCTTAGCTTTAAGCATTCCTTGGATTGGGCCTGTGAATTGAAATACAACAATTATTGGTAATAATGAATGCAAATCCAGAAAGTAATTATTTAAGAAGCAGTCTTAGCTAGTTTATTTTTCCATCTGATTAAAATAAAGGCAAAATCTAGTGGTGGAAAAGTGTATTAGCCCTTCTAAACAAGTAAGCTAGTCACTTCTCTCCTGATTAAAAATTGACCCCGCCTTGCTTTTTCTTTTTAATTAGCATTTAATTTATTAAAGAAACTTCTTTTGTTAGCTTGGTTTTCTGTGATAGTCTTTGATCTTAACAGTTTGATATGTAGTGTACCATGGTTTGTAGCTTGGTGAACCTATTTTTGAATTTTGCTGGAAGTCCCAAGTTAGCCAGCTCGGGTGATCCTGCCCTGGAGCAGCTTCTGTGCATGCTTCCGCTTCCCCAGTTCCTTTTTCTAAGGTGTGAGTCCTGACAGGGAAGGCTGTTCTCAAGCTTTTCCACAAAAAATAACAATATAAATAATTTACCTATACGCTAGAGTTTAATCCTCTTCTCTTTGTCCCTTCTTCCCCCTGGCCTTACAGACCCTCAAGTTTCTGATGTCTTGTTTTTCCTCTATGACTCTTTTGACTGGCTGTCCCGAGAAGCAGTGATAGCATGTAGAAAAATTAGGTGGCATCATACCCTTTTGTATTTTTGGGATAATTGAAGTAGTATTTTTATTGTTGTTTTCTGCCCTTGCAGAAGTGCACTTAGCACTTCATTTTTCTTATCGTTTTAGTTGAGTATTTGAAAGTGTAATGCTGTTTCTGTAAATTCTGTGGTAGTGTATAGCTGTTAACAATTTTACTTCATTCAAATCTAAGTGTTGTATATTGTAGTGTCCCACCTTCAATGAAATGATCCAAATGGGAATTCCTCTCACAGTTTGGGAGTTTGATTATTAATTTAATTGTAGTTCCAAAATTGCTATTGTTTATAAAGTTGCATATACTTTTTCTTGACTAAGGGAAATTTTGCTCTGCTTGCCTCTTTTACTGTGTTCTGCCTACATGGGTTATTAATTGAAATTTTGTTTCTAATCTGAATCTGCAGACTTTGGGGCAGAGGTACTGGGTTGGGGCAGGAACAGGAGCTGGAATATCTGGTTTCTATGACTACTCTGGGATACTGTTTCTTCATTTTCTAGTACCTGTTGTTTTTTCCCTTTAGCTTAAAAAGATCCATGCTTGTATAATTTATGTTTTATAGACTTAGAAGAAAGCTAAAAACTTAGATAACATCTTCTGATGTCTTGAATGGATTGTGAAGCACAGCGCTGTGTTACATTTTAACCTTTCAGCTTGTGCATGACTATGAAAGGGTAAAATCTTTATGGATAAAGCCTTTACCAGCATTGCAGCATAGGAATACATATTGTATAAATGGTGTGTATTATCATGCAGTGCACAGTAATTTATTCTGTGTGCATCTTATCAGATTGCCAGGCTTTCTTGCAATATCTTCTTTAAAATGGCTTCTTGTGTAACAAATTTTACGAAACAGAAGTGAAGTGCTGTGGCTTTTTTCCCTGAGTTTGGTCGACTGCCTTATTAAAAGCCAAAAGAAAGCTTTTTAAACTTTACCAGTGTTTCTGATATTTCTGCTTCTGATACTTCTGTGTTGTATTTCAAAATCAAGTAGACCACATGTAGATGTAACACAGACCAAAAAAAAAAAATTTTCATGGAAAGTAACCGGTAAATGTGTAGCCTGTGACTAGAACTCAAGCCAGAAGGTGGCTAACGTGCTTTAGCGTCAATAGCTCTTCAGTCTGTTACTTTAGTCCTTCATATAGATTAATGAGCATCACTGGCTCTTTTATATAATTGTGGTGCTAAGGTGGAGTCACAGTAGAGCTATTGCTAGCGCTCAGAACGTGTTATACAACTGTAATATCATGGCCAACTTATTTGACGCTTTTTTTTAAAAAATCTTTTATAGTGTGCCGGTCAAATAAAAGTCCGTGGGTCTGTCTGACGTGCTCAAGTGTCCATTGTGGAAGGTGGGTACAAAGTGTTAGTCTGCAAATCTTTTAATCAGACCTTTATCTTTTTCTTTTGTTGCTTGACTCTGAGGCAGTTCATTCAAAATCCTCCTGAATGCTTTATAATTCCCTGAAATAAACCTTTTATGATCTCGTTTAACATTGTATGTTTTATACTGAACACAGTTCTTTGCTACCTTGTAAGAGTCCAGAGATTATACTCAACCAAATTTTTTTTCCAAAGGAAAAGTGTATGGTGAATGTGAATGTTCAGCTCAAAAAGTGCCTGGAGAACTGCTAATTCAGTGGATTATTGTAAAGTTCCATTCTGTAAAAGATGTTTCTATTGTAGTAAGATTAAACCAGTAAAAATTCTTGGAAACTCACAAATCTGAAGTTAGCATAGCTTATTTTGAGGAAAACAGCAACTGTCCAGCTTAGACAGAAAATACCTTAAATGTACTGTAGTGTAGTAGTTTTGGAACAAAGATATTGCCATAACGTACAAGGACTAGCTACCATCAGAATTCCTTCAGACTACAGCTGCTTTTTTGTCTGTACTAGTTGAAGTACACCAAAAGAATTTGTAAAGGAATGATATAGCCAGTGCGGTTATTTATATGTCAGGAAAATTGTAGAAAATTTGCTGCTACATAAATGTTTGAAATGCCCATATTAATGAGAATGTGGTTAGTGTAGACATTTAGACAGTATCTGAGATGTGAACATGTTTTAATCTCTAGAGTAACATCTGTGCTGGTGTGCTTTTGTTCTGGAAAAGCATCGTTAAACTTAGTGACTTTGTCTTTTAAAGTGGATTCAGTAAACTCCAGGCTTTGATCTGGATAGCAGTAAGTGCCACAATTTTAATAATCTCTCTTATTCAGACTTTTCAGCACAACCCCTTTTTTTTCTCTATTTAGTAATTTATTTCATAAATTTATATTTGGTGAGAGCTAAGAGAGAGGGAGCTACTTCATGTTATGTGATAGTGTGAAATAAATAGTTTGGAATATTTTACTTGGTACTAATTTTTAAAAAATACTATTTCTGTCCATATATGACCTTTCTTGCATGCAATTAGTAGCCATTGAGTCAGGTATTTATGCAGTTTGTTTTGACTTTTCTAAACTACTCCCATCCTTAGAATGGAAAATAATTGAATCAGAAGAATGTAATATACCTTGTAATGGGAGCACTTTTGATCCTGAAAGCACACAGCATATTCTTCTGCTCAGATAACGTTTGAAGTCAAAGGGAGAGAAATAGAGCTCTTCAAATCTTCCCTTGAAGTACACCCTCCAGGTTAGAGTCATTGGGAACATTACTGACTGTGTTAGAGCAGCAGAGCATTTCTGGTGGGAGCATAGCTTTATAAACCTGTCATTTGCACTGTTAGGCAGAAAACCAACTCCTGCAAGCACAGCTGTCTCATTCGGGTTATGACATAATTGCTGCAGAATTCTGCCAGCACAGCAATGTTGGTAACCCCGTGGCTTCAGTGCCTTAACTAGCACAGCTGCGTTAGCAGAACTGTTTACACCTGCATGTGAGAACAAGTGTAGAATATAAAGACCTTCGTGTGGAGCATATGCAAAGTTCCTATCGGTTAGCATTACTGAGTTCAACAAGCAAGAAATGGGAGAGGAGGGAATTCACCTGAGGTCTGGCCATGCACTTCTAAGTGTTAATGATTTTCAGCTCATACTTAGGAGTCTTGCATTTGTAATGCAACTTTTTTTATTAAAGATGCTTGATTTTCTAGAGCTCAAATTTTGATGGTGAAAGTGCTCATTGTGTCAGCAAAAGAGCTGTAGGATTTTAGATTTCTTTTTCAGTTATGTGAACCCAAGCTCTACAGCCTTTCAAATTCGTGAACTTTATAAAATGTAGAATGCTGTAGTATTAAATCATGCTGCAGAATGGGAAAGCTTAAAATGGGTGTGCTTTCGTATGGGGGTCAGCACACTGTTAAAATAATCACAAACATGATGAGTGCTGGGTGGAGGAAAAGGTAGAGCTGTAAGAAAAGTATATGGGAAAGCAATATGGAGAACTAACCGCTTTACAGTTATGAAAAAAGGGAGCTAATGATTTTCTCAGTTGTTAAGGTGCATCAGTCTGTTAAGGGCCCAGATCCTGGGGTCTGGTACAAGGATGCCAGTTTGTGGCTGCTGTGAAGGTGATGGAGAGATTAATTTGGACAACGTGGGAGAGTAAAGGGGTAAAAAGTTAGAAAATGTAGCCAATGTTTTCACACAGGTGAATTGCCTGTTTTGATGCCTGTATAAACAGTGGATGCTTAGGCTGCCTTTTTTCTTCTTATTTTCAATGAATGTTGGTTAAGTAACTACAAGTATGACTTTTTTTGTTTTTCATTTATTTTAGATATGTGAATGGCCATGCAAAAAAGCATTATGAAGATGCACAGATTCCTATGACCAACCATAAGAAAACAGAAAAGCAAGAGAAAGTTCAGCATACTGTGTGTATGGATTGCAGTAGTTACAGTACATACTGGTAAGGGTTTAAACACTGTAACTTGACAACTTTTTACATACTAGAAGGTGAAAACTTCAGACTCTTGTGAAGCATTATCTTACATTTTTTGAGCACTTCATCTCTTGATTTCCAGACCTGGCTGTTTAAGAACAGTTATGAAATAACCCTCTGCTTTTTCATGTATATTGTAGTATTGGTTGTGGCTAAACTCCTGCATTTCAAATGACAGCAGAAACTTTTTGAAATAAATGCTGTTTATGTGGTTTGGGGTTGCTTCTGTTTGCTTTGAGGTATGTTGAGAACCTAACCTTTTAATTGCAAAAGCTGATGTTTGGTTGTAGTTACTCCTTCCATCAAATTGGTGAACCTTTCACATATCCTTTATTTGTCAGAATATTAGAAAGTAAAGTAATACACTGTAGTTTCTGACCAAGAGGTGTGAACTTTAGGTGTGTATGTTTTGTTTGGTTTTTTTCCCCAATATTAATTTTTTTTCTTCACTCTGAAGGAAAGACTTCTTTCTTTTGGGGATTTGGGGCAACCTGTATGAGTTTGGGAAAATGATGGATCCTGTTGGGAAGCAGCATCAACTCTCTGGCAAGACTAAGTATAACGGAATCATAGAAGTGATTCTTTTAACAGAAGAATGGCCTGGGCTGTTTTATTCTATCAGATGCTTAGAGTGAGATACGAGCGCTGTTCAGGGAGATTTAATAGTTATGCTGGTAATGTTGGGTTCCCTATCTTCCTTGTTCCTCAGAGGGCAAAGACTGGAAGTCTGTTGAAAACAATGCTCTTCCATCCTCTTCACCCCTAAGCAAAACTGTTGACAGCTGCTTCTGCATTTCCTGTTGGATTCATGGTTTCCCATGTATGTCACTACTTGTGCAGTGTGGCAATGCAGGATTTGAACACTGCAGATCTCGGGGAAATCCACGTTACTGTCTTGTAAAATCACTGAGTATATAGCTCCACTGATGGGTATTTTGTTCAAATAATTGGGTATGTTTTGTGTACTTCATCAGGGAATAACCTGTTTGCTTTCAAGTTTGAGTATCCAGTTTTATGAGTAATACTTCTGTAACAAATATTTTTATCTGCTGCAAGTAAAATCACGGTTAGGTGGTCTTGCCTGAAGAAACTTTTTTTTTGGAGCAACTCAAAAATTATTCAGGTGGTGTGTGCAACTGTACACATGTTAAGCATAGAAGAAAGGTTTGAGTAGCTTTGTGATATATGGGGATTTTACTTCTATTTAAATTTTATTTAAATGACCAGCATTTTCATCTGCTTCTATGTGAAGACATTAGAAAATACAAAATTTTTCTAAGTGATACATATGCACAGGTTGCCAGCACTGGAATAACTGTGGGAAGCTAATTCCACATTCCCAATTAATGCTGTTAACAACTTAGTTCTGTGTTGTAGCTTTTTGTTTTGCTTGGAAATATGTATGGTCTGTCTTCTAGTCACTCTGAAGGTAATAATGTGTGGAGGAATTTTAGCAGGGTATTTGAATTCTTGATTATATCTCCATTTGCTGTGACAAATAGTATGCTCAACTTGCTGAGTCTTGATGAGTTGTACTAGCAAGTCAGAGCACCCTGTTGAGCTTATCCCAAACCCAATATAGGCATTGCAAAATGACAACAGCCGAATTGAGGACTATGGGATTTATTAGTGAAACAAACTATGCTTTTGAGGAGCAGGTAGGAAGGCACTTGGGAAGCTCACTGGTGTTTCACAGCATATTTGTGGTAGGACAGATGAGAAGCAGCTTAGCATGTGATGTCTTTTCTGCTATAATCGAAGTAGAAGGCTGAGTCGCCTGTGGATGAACTGAGACTAATTGTAGAGAGCTTTGCCTTGAAGAGTTCCTGTTGCGTATAATTCACTAGCAAATTATAACTCTCCTGTGCTAATACAAAGCTGAACAAGTTTCAAAAGCAGTGTATCTTTGCTTTCATTTAGGATATTTCAGTTTTTTCCCACCTGATAATCAGAAAAGAATACTTGGATCTGTTATTGCACCCAATTTTTTCAGTGGAAATGAGCTTAGATGTGTAAAGATGAAGCAGAAAGCATTCAGACCAACTTCTGCCCCTTTATTTCAGACACTACTGTAGAGGCTGCTATCAAATAATGCTTGCCAGTTAAAGCAAGTGAATTTGAGCCATAACTAGCTACTGTGGAGATTGAATTTTGAAATGTTATTTTTTAGCTTCTTCGGTGTAGACATGAATTACTGTGTTCCTTAGCTTGCATGATAGCAGTGAACAGGCCTGTATGGGCTCTTTTCTAAGCAGAGGGCATTTAATCCTTTGCTTTTCTTTGGTCATGTCATAAACTTTACTGCTATCATGAGAGCACAGTCCAGCTATGGTGTCAGTCCAAGGCAAATAAATACTATGTGACTGTTGAAGCTACCGTGGTTTATTGAATTTTGTTTCTAGTTCACGTGCAGTCTGGCAGTAAACCAAAACCAGACCAAGCAGTCTCCTGTAATTGCATTTCAACATGGAAGTCTAGGTGTGTATGTTTTCTTTTACATCACCACAAGCTTTCAACATGGCTTGAAAGGAAAATGTTTCAGTTCTGGTGGGATGGTGGTTAATTTTTATTTTTTTAATCTGAGATGAGATTTTTATTATATTTATGAATTTGGTAATATTTTGAAAAATACAGGCATGCTTGAGGTATCATTAAGTATTGGGTAACTAGGGATTTGCTTTCCAGAGGGTTTTGGTCTTTTCTCTATGTCCTCCTATTTGCCCGTTCAGTCTTCACAGTGAAAAAGTTGAGAGAATGTTAATCTTTTATTTATTATGAGAGTAGGACTGTGTTCTTGATTCTTTGGTCACTTCTGAGACAGTAGATGCAATACTAAATCTTCAGACTGAATTATGTTTAAGACGCTAAGCACTGAGAAAAACAGCCTCCTGAATCCTACTTTTTGAAGGTAATCAGCCTTTCAGTTAGTTCTGAAGTACTAAGCACAAAGGCTTTACAGGAAGTACAGATCTCTTTTCAAGCTGTCGTAGGATGCTTTCTCCTGCTGTGTTAGTGGTGGTTTTTCTGTGCACGAGAAGTAAAATGATACGTGTAAGAAGCTTGCTTTCAGAAATACATTTCCTGAAAAAGGACTCTTGTAAATTTGTTTTCTCTGTGCTAGTGCACGGACAGTTGGTTAGCACAGAAGAAAGGCTGCCCTGTTTATGTATTTGCATAATGTGTTCCCCGTGTTCATTTAATCCCAGAAGCAATTTGCAGGTCAGATTTCTGACCCATTAGCCTTCTTGTTATCTCTTAAAGGGACATGGCTCTGCTAATGTCCTCATCCGTCTGTCCCCATGGGCTGATGTAAAAATAACTAAGTGCCAAGGACTTGTAAAAAATTCTTTTTTCGTCTTTGTTTTTGTGTTGGTGGTTCTATTTAAAAAACAGACTTGCTGTGCTAGCCCATGAGCATCTGAAAATGAGATTGCTCAGAACCATTATTTTGCATTCAACAGTCAGTGGAAATTAAGGTAAAAAGCCTTTTATGAAGATAGTTAAACTCGAGTTCTTAGTTGACTCGTGTAAGGTGCTAGCACAACTAAGGAAACTTGGATTTTCTTAATTTTTCCTGTCCTGTAATTCTTCAAATCCAACCAGGGCTTTTAAACAGCATGAAGTTCTGTAACCTGCTGAAACAGCCAGCAGTAAGCATAAGTGTTCCTCAGAGCAGTGCATACATTCACTGGCTTGCTGCCATTTTAACAGCAAAGGAGGCCAGAAAAGACCAGGCCTTGGAGGTAGCAGAGGTGCTAAAAATAGAAAGTGAGGAGAGAGGAAAATACTGAGCTAATCCATATAAGGGACCCTCCCTGAAGTATAGAATTTGTTCTGTACAATTGCTGTTAAAAGCCTATTGTAGAATAGAATTGCTGTATGCAAAAAGGTGTATTGTTAACTTGTGATAATCCTGAGGATCACAAATTAAACATATGTTTTGAATGTCAGCTTCACATATAGGAAGTAATCTTTCAGCAGTTTACCTTTATGGTGTGTGGGCTTAGCAAATTCTAAGTTATTAAAGCATAGGATACTTTCTATGCTGTTTACTTCATTTATCCAAAATAGATTGGTAGTAGTGCTGTCATTTCTAGTAGTATTGCTGAATCCTCAGTGTTGCAAGGGAGGTGGTTTAAAAAACTTCCCCGTTGAAAACAGAAATAGAAGCAGCTTGTTTTTAAGTGGATCTTAAAATTACTTTTTCCACTGTTGCAAGGACCCTGACATTTAATGATGTATTTGGTTTTATTCCTCCATTTTGCAGAAAGTGCTAACTTGAAATTTTATGTGAAGATGTAACTGGTATGTGAGATCAGACTGAAAATAAGGTTAACACGATCTTTAGGGCATGGGAGTAAGTATTAAATCATCTTGCAGCAATAAGTTGGCTTAGAGGCATTCAGTGAGCTTGCATCAGCTTTCATTCCCCATTTATAAATGTTAGTAGCTACACAACTAAAGTAGCACTGTAGTTGTGCTAGTATACCTGGGGGTGTGGACATGCTTGGTATTAAGAAGTTGGACTGTACTGTATCCACCTACACCATATTTACCTCTCAGCAAGCTGGCCTGGGTAGTTTGCTCTGATGGTTGTCCTTGAGGTGTGGTGTCCTGTGAGAGTGGCAGATGCAGGAACACTTCATTAGCTAATTGTAGGTTGTTGACAAAGCTCAATAGGACCACTTAAAACATGGCTGAAAAATAAGCACCTTTACAGACTTCTTCCGCCTCCCAAACTAACTAGGTCTGTAGTAATCTTAAAAAAAAAAAAAAAAAAAAAAAAAAAAAAAAAGGTGTGTAGTAAACACAAAAAAAAAAAAAAAAAAAAAAAAAAAAAAATTACTGGCAATAGCTATCTTAATAACTTCTAGATTTTGTGTAAGTATCTATGACTGCCGTGTTCGCTGTTGGGAAATCTTGAGACTTGTATTAATTTCTCTTCTTGGAGGCAAAAATCAACAGAGATCCTGGACAGACTGCTCTTACAGATTCCTTTCAGTGGCCAGGGCCTTTACTTTACTTTCTCAACTCTGTAGTCTCTTCAAGGATTCAGTGTTAGAATTAACACTAGCAATACTGTTACCTTTGAACTACCTCGCAGGTTTATGCAACAAAGAATGTTGTAAATTCCAGTTGTGCCTGAAGTCGATAGCTTCATTAACTTATGAAGCAGTAGAGGAGTAACCTGAGACAATAAGGATGTATTTCACATTTGAGTCAGTCCTGTGCCAAAGGGAAAGGAGAAAAATAGCTATGGTTCTGATATTAAACATAGCCAAAGTAAGTTAGTTTTCTTCACAGGAAGTATTCAGTTGCTTGCCAGAATTTGAAGCTGCAATTTGTTGCTTTGCAGTAAGCACCGGCCTGGCAAACACTGCTCAGAGCTGAGATACCTTTGTGGGATGTGGGGGAAGGGAAGTTGTGACAAGTCTCTGCTCCCTTTTTGTCGCAGTGCTCTCAAAAGAGCAGGTGCAAGTGGCGTTAAATCTTCTCTTACCTTCCTGTTTCTCATGCCAGAATACGGGTTATCTAGTTCTTGAGCTAGCTCTTAGCTAACCTGCAGCAGTACTGTGAAATGTCATCTGCAGCTCCTGTGCACAGCAGTAAGGCTGCCGCCTCCTCTGAGAGGGACTCGAGGAGGCTGCACAGAATTCTTGGTTTACCGACCTGCGTGTGTGGATTCTGCAAAGCTGGGCTTCCTTACTGACTGCAGCGTTTCTGTTTCTTGGTTTTAAGGGCGTTTTGTCCTTCCTTCCCCTCCCTTTTCTACCACCCCATCCCTGTATACAGGCATTGTCTTTCCTTCACAAATGGAAGAGCGAGCATGGATAAGAGGGTCCGCATCACTCTGGGACCTGTGTTCCCTCTTTTTGTGAGGGCAAGAAATGCAAGGGATTTAAAATACAGGAAAATGGCAGAAGTTGATGCCATCTTGCAACAGTGTTCTCCTTGTGACAGTTTTCCTTGCTACTCTCTCCTTTAATTTCTTCAAATTGACATGTGCACTGTGGGTTTACATGTACTCAGGAAAACAGTGAAATAAGGTGTGAGTTTTTATTTCAGCATTCCCTAAAATACCTTCCTCCCCCTTTTAGAAATGGTCTGTAACCTTTGCCTTTGTGCACTATATGAGGTATTACAAGCCCACAATTTGAATATTAAATTATAATGAACGTCTTTGTTTCTTGGGAAATGTGAGATCTTCGTAGGACAGTATAGGATTGTAGACTTCTGTACCCTTGTTTCTGCTGAGAGGCCATTTTGATTTGGCTTCACTTTACGTTTCCTTTGAGGCAGTGGGGGGATCAGCTTCTCTCTCTTTTTCAGCTCAGTTGCTTTCGCATGCTTACCCTGAAAAAGCTCAAAATACTAGCTTAAGTTTTATAAGAGTTTTTGTGTGTATAAAAACTATATGAGAGATTGAGTGATAGTTGTGGTTAAACCACGAGGTGCAAGTTGCCACAGATTTCTGGTGTGACTTTGGACAAATCATGTAATCTCTTGTTTGATCTTCCCTGGTCTTTTTTCCATAGCAGAAACTTCTGCGTTATGTGTGTATCTGTTCAGCACCTCAGGTTTTAATGATCACTTTACAGTGTTAAAATAAATTGATGTATACTGTACATTAATAAAACCTTTGTATTCTGTTTACCTGATATCAGTTGATCTTTTCTAATAAATCTTCTATGGATTGTCTACTAATGCTGCTTTTGGTTATATCATATGTTTGAATTTTTGTTGAACGGGAATTCTGCATTGTGACAAGCAGTGCATCATGCTTCTAATTTTTAATAAAGAACTGAGCTAGAAGAAAAACCATGCAATAAGGTAGTGCCTGTACCTTCTCTTGCTATAGAGTAGTTTTCAGAGAGAACCAAGCTCAGTATGTACGTCTTGTGCTGCCCTGTTCCCCTCATAATCTTCCCACATGTAGGTTTGCATGACTGTTTTGGAGTACTTCATTGAAATCCTTTGTACATTCTGATAAATGTTTTTCTTGCAGTTACCGCTGTGATGATTTTGTAGTCAATGATACCAAGCTGGGCCTGGTACAGAAGGTCAGAGAGCACCTACAGAACTTGGAAAAGTGAGTAGCTTTTTTACATCCAGACTGCTTTGGGTAGACATGTAATATTGCATCATTTAAGTGGTATTTCTGTTTTGTATGTATGTGTTCAATGTATATATTTTGGTCCTTCTGTGTATGTGATACTGTGTATGTTTAAATATCCTTTTCATCACTGAGAAGCAGAGAAATGAATGAATTTGACTGATCTTGTATGTTTTGTTTCTTATATGGTGAATGTTGTAGAAGCAGTGTATGGTGATACAGGAATTTAGATATCGATTAACTTTCTTGCTACCTAGGCAATATTTACTGTCTTTTTCCATGTAAATGGGAGAGAATTTCCAGAACAGAATCACATTTTTGTCAAAACCAGAATAAGCTTCTGGAGCAGAGAAATTGAAGTGAAAATGCAGGTGGAAGTAGTCTTCGTATTAATTGCATAGTTTGGTTCCCAAATAAAAATATTAAGAAGGCTTATGAACTTGGAATTGTACAGAAGAGACATTTTCCTCTGCCTTTATCTGTCACTGTTCCACTGAAAAGTAGATGCAGTGGCCAGTGCTAGATAGCAAATAGTCTTTTCACGCTTTGCTTGGAAATCTTACATAATGCTAAGTAGAAGTATGGGTCCATGCAGTGCTTCCAAACACATTTGAATGCCGTAGAGTTCAAATAGGACTCCTGCTAAGAAATTGCTGTGGTTTTGGGAAGTCTCTGGATCCTCCCTGAATTAAGTGTCACTTACTGTGTAGGTGATATTAACCTTTTAATTATTTTCCATTCTCTTTTTGATGGGCTTCTCAGATATGTAATGAGATGTAAAGATATTTAAGCATAACAAGAAGTGCATGTTAGTATTTCGGAAATGTCCAGGAGATCTACCTCTTTGGGAGGTAAATGATACGGTGGAGGCTTCCATTGTGTGTAACGACAGTTTTTGAATGTTTGGAGGGCTTTTTAATTGGGGGAAAAAAAAAAAGAAATAAAGCAAAACAAAACCCTAAATCTGGAACAAGTTATGATTTTGCTGTTAGATTAGAGAGAAGTCATAAACTGGTAGAATTGAGGGGCCAGTAATTTCCAGTGATGTGGAAAAGAATAACTAATTGTTCTTGTAACTTTGTATTAGTATTACACAAATGTTGTAACCTCCTGTATTTTTATTTAAGTAAGAGAAGTCAGCTATAATACATAAGTGCTAGCACTGGAGATATTTTTGATCTTTGCTAACTTTATTTTGTCCTGATTTTTTGAAGTTGTCTTTCTAAAGGCTTAGATGATTCTTCTGACAGAAGTGTTTCATGGAAAATTCTGTATTAAGTATTCCTTTGATTAAGGAAAAAGATCAATATTTTAGGTGAAAAGTAGCATGCCAACAAGGCCACTCTTCAGGGCGCATACTGTAGCATGCATAGCTTGACACAATTAACTTGAAAATAGGATGTGTGTCTGTACTCTGAGGGAGTTGCAGTCTATTTTAAGACTATGAAAATCATAAGTTGCAATCAGGAGGCTCTTTGCTGTGTTAGTGACAGCTGATGGTAGATGTAATCACTGTATTAAAGATGATTATCTGTTGTCCATTTCACACAACATCTTGTTTTTATAGTAAGTAACCTCTTTTAATTACTTTCCAACAGTTCAGCCTTTACATCAGACAGACATAGGAAAAGAAAACTATTGGAAAACTCATCCCTGAACAGCAAGTTATTAAAAGTAAATGTAAGTATGACAGATCTGGTACAGTGAGTTTGAGGGTTTTTTCTAAACCTGTTGAGGCTTATAGTTGGGTTTGACTTGAAATACTTACAGTTACCCAAATTCTGCTTGGTACACTTTGTCTTTCTCATTTGCTGACCAGACACCTGGAAGAGCCCCTTCTCACAACACAATGTTTGATATTCTGCTACATTTCTGTTGATACAGACTTTGAGCTTCCCTGTGCTTAAGAAGGGTTTCATGCCAAGATGGAGCTTCAGGGCAATTTGAGCTTGGTGAGATCAGTGAAATTGGAAGGAGCTAGTACCTACTGGGATGAAACCAGGGCTAGACGTAAGACTTTTCTGAGCAGACAAAGGGTTTTTGTCTTTTTTACAGAGCAAAAAGCAAAGAAGCAGGTGCACTGTCTTTTTCTAGGAGGATAAGAGAGTAATTGTTAGGGAAAAGTAAAAAATTTTAACCAATTTTTAAAAGAGTTTATTAAAACTTGCTTTCAAAAGGAACTGTGGACTATTCTGAAAGCTTTTCTCACTCTCATCTTCCTGCTATTTTAACTTCAGCTCTGCAGAACAGCACCGAGGAGAGGATGATCCAGCCCTTGGTAGACAGCTGAAGGGGGCTGCATAGTTTCTTCAAGATGCAGAATGCCCCAAACCAAATGTCTCTGTTTTCCACAGTTTGGGTTGAGGGAGTTTCTAGTCTTCATAATTTCTCCCAGATTTTAGGGAGGGAGAGGGGAGATGCTGACCCAGCTGTATGCAACTGCTTCGTTTTCACCCTTAACCAGAAGGAGCGGTAGAGCAGAACTATTCCTCCTTGGCCCTTGGGGCTGCTGGACAGCAGTGAAGTCAAAGGGAGCTGAAGTTAATAGCTATCTTCAACCGTGAGGAGCAACTATCTGATTACGGAGAGAAGTTCTTGAGAGGAGTATGAACGGAAATAAGAGGGTAGGGTGGGACCAAAGCAGTCAGTTGCTGTTTTGCAAAGTCTGTAGGGATTTAGAGTTACTTTAAAAATGTATTTCTTAAGGTTAATTTAGGGTACTCTGTGCTGTGTGTGCTTCCTGTACTGTCCTAATCTTGGGGTGATTAAGAAAGCCTCAGAGAAATAGTGGGGTGTTTTTCCTATGGCAACACACAGCATCACTGTCTGGAAAACTCAAAGCCAGTAAAAACCAGAAGGAAAATTCTAAGCAAGATTTAGATATGGAGAAGACTGAATTAGAAAGCATGAACTTAATGCTGCTTTTATTCTTCCTTAGCCTGTGCTGTTTTCTCAGTTTTATTAATACTTGAATACTGCCCATGGCAACAGATGATCTTTTTATTGTTGGCATATTGGATCCTTATCTAGAAAAGACAGGGCACTACTGGTTGCATTAGTACCGTGCTGTCTCAACCTGGGCAAGAGTGAGAAAAGAATATGCTAAGGACACTGTGGTGGTTGTACTTAAGAGTTTTTTTTTCTTTATTGGAGAACAGGTTTCTCTTTAAACAATTCTTACTGAATTGGTAAATTGCTTATGTAAATAATTATTTTTTTTTTTTTTAAACAACATATACACAAATATTCTGCTGTCACTAGTTCTTCACCAGAGATGATGTTTGTGGTAGATTTGGGGAGGAAAAAAACTTTTATTGGAACACTTTGAATATGTATTTGGTAACCTGGATTGGCATGGAGTCTTTGATGTCAAGTAATATGTTCATTTTGAGATACTACTGTTAAAAGAGAGTCTAGCTTTTAAATTTTGTTAGAGCAATGAAGAATGCCCCAAAATTTAATGAACTTCCAGTGTGGTATTTTGTAGACAATGGAATGTGTCCAAGTGTTGCAGATTCTAGAAACTGTAAATGCAACACTGTCCACACTTCTCTTCCCTCTCCTCCCAGCTCACCCTCAGGATTATTTGGCAAAAAGCAAGCTCGACTGTTGGTAACATTGCTCAAACCTGTTGAAACTCCTAGACTGTAAATGGTGTGTATTTTGCTTCTCTTCATTCAACACATTGCTTTTTCTTGGCACAGTCTAACTTGAGTGTTTCTTTCCCAAATAAATGCTGTTGTCTGTCTTTCAAAAACCCTCCTGGCCACCATAAAACCCAACCAAGGCAGCAGGCTAGTGCTTGTGACTTAAAAACAACCTGCAGGCTGCCACACTGTGCATATTAGACATGGGACTAGATGGATAAGGATTGGTATTTTAATTTTTCAAAGGCACTTCAGGAAGATTGCTGTCCAGTTCTCACTGAACGTTTCTGGAGTGTGAATATTCAACATATGTACACGCCAATACTTTGCAATAAAAGCCTGTGGTCAACGCTGTGTTGTCCTATTCTAGATCTGTTTGCACAGGAAAAGACGTACTATAGTTTTCTGTTGACAGGAATGAGTAAGAAACGGGTTTCCTGTCAAGATGGAGCTTCAAGGCAGTTTGAGCTGGTGAGGTGGTTGCTTTGGCTTTGTCACTGCTCTTTTCAAACAGTGTAGTTTATTGTTAATGCTGACGTAACAGGAACAGCTTTGTGGGGAGAAAGTGGGGGAGCAATGATAACTCTTTAACTTAACTGTTCTCACTTCCAGGGGAGTACCACTGCCCTTTGTGCCACAGGCCTTCGGAACCTGGGGAATACGTGTTTCATGAACGCCATCCTTCAGTCGCTCAGGTACCTTTGAAGCTCTCCCCATGCCTCTGAGAATGGTTGTGTGCTATAGCGCTAGGCGAGTGAATTTGCCAAGTTACCACTGTACAAAAGCGTACCTGGATTTGCAGGAACAGGTGTGTGCAGGTATCATAAAGTTGTGTTTCGCATTGTGAGGGACTTCCTGTCATGCAGCGTTCCAGAGAACGCCCGCAGTATCCTCAGCGGAAAGGGAGACTGCCCTTTCATTGAGGAGGCTGTTGAAACACGTTGATGCTTATGGTTGCTGTGAAAGCAGAGACAGTGCTTTGAGGGGTGGAGTCTCAAGGAAGTGGGTAGGAGGATAGTTTCTGCAGTACTGAGATGTTAGACTTCATTTCATTGCAGCCAAGACCACTGCTGCTCTGTAGTTGTCCTTTTGCATTTCTGAATTTGCCTGCTTCACTGGGAGACTACTGAGTTGGGCTATAGCATGACTGATTTGTCTCCACTTTCTTTTCCATCATTCCGGGTTCACTGGCAGGAGCTGAGGCACACGCTTCTTATGTCCCATTACTGGGACTGTGGTAGCAGAGGTTAGACGGTAGACATGGAGTTAACCTCAGCAGATGCAGTCTGGTTTGTTATCTCTTAGTCAAAGCAGAGCCAAAATGTAATTGTTTCAGGTAGTTGAGATGATGACAGCTCTGCTCAGTCATTTACTGAAGATGAGTATTTGCTACAGTATTTCTTGTATCTTGAACTATTCACGATTGCCATCCTCTATCACTGCATGAAGTTGCATTTATGCATTTCAAAGAACAGGCTCCAGAATACATAATACTCTCTTTATTCTCTGCCCTTTAAGGATTTAAATAATTTTTCCTTTTTCCGTAGTAACATTCAACAGTTTTGCTGTTACTTCAAAGAGTTGCCTGCTGTGGAGCTGAGGAATGGGAAGACCGCAGGCAGTTTTTTACCATACCAGGAGCCAGGGGGATAACAATGTGTAAGCTGCATGTTCCTTGTTAGCACTGAGCTTTATGGAAAACAGCAAATGCGAGGGTAGGAGAACGACCATACTCTGCCAGTGTTGCAGAGTCATAGAAAAATTATTCATTGGGGGACAGAGTCAGAGAAGAATAGTTGGCTGTACAAAAAAAGAAACTTCTGTCATTTGCAGTTTGCTTATATAGGTCTGGTGCTGCAGGGCAAAGCAGACAGATACATCAGAAAGCACTGGAGTGTAACTCCATTTAAAGTAAGGTTAAGAAATGCTAGGTACATGGACTCCAGACCATTATGTTATTTAATTCCAGCTAAAATACAGTCATGGGGATGTGTCTGCAAGAGAACATACTACCAAAAAAAAAAAAAATCAGAGTAAGCGATTCACAATCTGTAGCGTGTTTGAGCAAGTGTTAAAGGGATGATGTTAGCAGAGTCTACAGTAAAATGGCGAAAGACGGATAGATTTCCAGGTGAGCCCTCAACATCTGAAATGTAATTTTCCTACTCTGTGTCTGTCTTCAGTGTTATGGGTAGGACTTTGGACATAAAATCTTTGAAGTACTGGAAAGGATATTTACCCAGTCATTACAATCTTATCCAAAGTAATGTCTGGTATTTGTACCATTGAGCTAGTAAACCTATAAGGGTTATAACACAAAGCCATGTTAATCACTAGCTTTTACTTTCATTGCAGTTCATTGGTGGAAGAATTCAGAAAGACGCTCTGTGCTTTATGGCAAGGAAGCCAAACTGCATTTAGTCCAGAATCTTTATTTTATGTTGTTTGGAAAATAATGCCAAATTTTAGGTAAGTTTTGTAATATAAGAACAATATTCTTGATTGCAACCTTGTATTGCTGGTGTTCTGCTCTCAAATTTCCTGACTCCATGCAATGCACTTCACGCAGCTTCCCTGTATGCCCATAAATACGCTTTGAAAAGGAACTTCACTTTGATCGGCAGTTTTGTGTTCATCAGTAGTGGTATTTTCTTTCTGCCCTTCTACCACATGCTACATGTAGCAGTGTTGGAGAGGACAAACATCTCTCATACTAAAACGGTAGTAGTTGTACCTTTGAGCCAGTGCTCCAAAGGGCAGACGAATCAAGATGACTGGGAGATAAGTGCCAAGTGCATGGTGTTGACAGAACCCAAGCTGGGCTGCAATAAGAAAGTGATGTAGTCGGATTAAAAACGGTACAGCACCTAGAGGCCTAAATGCAAACATACTGGCTGAAACTTCCTTGATTCTCTCAAAATAATGTCATCACCAGCTGGACATGAAGTAAGGGCTATAAGAAAAAAAATCCTGTGCATAATAGGCATTTTCTGCCCATACTGACAAAAAAAGACGATGAAAAGAAAGGGGAAAAAAAAGGTTACCCAAGTAAATCGAAGTATCGTTCCTCTCCAAGGTCTCCCTGTCCTGGCCCCTGAACCTCTTTCAAAGGAGCACTGAAACCTGTTAGGATATATTGTGATGAAGGTAAGTTGCTCCATGTTCTCAGGTAGTAAAGATGTTCTGTTATCTGTTACATCTCCAGCAGTGCTGAAAAGATGCTGTGAACACATCTGCTCAATGAGTACCCTGAATAACGCAAACCTATTTATTCTGCTAAATGTGTTTCACTTGGCTTATGAGAATCAAGGAAGTTTAATACCAGTAGTTGCAAGCAGTGACCAAAACATTACAGAAAATGAACATCATGCATAATGTCACCGACCAGTTTCCTTATTACAGTCTTTGCTATAATTCTTGTTAGAGTAAGTGAGAAACCAGTTCATTAAAGTTCCTCAAGCAAATTTTCAGCACTGTGGGTTCTATTACAGCTTTTAAAAGAAAAAGTGCTGTTTGTTGGGGTTCTCCCCCTTCCCTTTTTATTTCCAGTTAGCTGGGAGCATGTCCGTGATTAATTGATATGAGAACTCATTAAATCACATGGAGAATAGTCAGCTGCTCAGGAGATGCCTGCTCCCCCATGATGCAGGGAGAAAACTGAATTTGTTCAGTGCTTCATTGTACCTTGTAAAAGCTAGTGATGCTACAATTTTAGTTCTACCTTGTGCTCTTCGTGTGCGATTGGGAGGAGAAGGTGGATCGGCATATACGTGAAAGAAGGCTGGAGCCAGCAGCATGTTAACAGCAAACCAGCCACTTTGGCTTGTGCTTATGAAGCCTGAAGTGATGGGGCAGGGGGAGGAAACGTAGTTGGAAAGGTGGTTTAATTGTTTTAGCCCAAAGAGATTTTAGTTGTTGAAGGCAGGTGGTGCCTGCCTCCGAGGGCTGCAAGTGCTGCTGTTCTTACAGAGGCTTACAGAAAAAACTGCTGCTGATGCACTCCACGGCCCTCTGTCTCATATTGCACACAGGGAGTAGAGAATATCGTTTATAGTTACTGTGAGCACAACTGGAGTGCCTGCGGGCTCTAATGCTGCTGTGGAAGTCCTGCTCCTTGAGTGTTGGACAAAGTCTGCTGCTGTCATTCTGCCGCCTGCCGAGGTAGTTCTGTGGCTTCATGCTGAGCTGTAAGATGTGTATGTTGCTGATTTGCTGCTGTATAAATAGTATGCTCTGTTTTCCTAGTAACTGTTCCTGTGTATGTCCTATCTTCTTGTAGGAAAAGCGATGTCAGAGGTGGGCTTGAATTGAATTGCTTCAGGTGGATGGAGATCTGTTTTATTGCACAAGCTGACTATCAGAGAAACTATGCTTTTTGCTGAAGGCCTTTAAGATCATAGTTGATTGTAAACAGTGCATTGTCCATATCATCATGTTCTTTTAAAGATCTGTATCTATAGTTACGCTTTTTAGCAAATCCAAAGACTTTTTCGTCTATAATTAACATACTTGTATGCAAGTATAAACACATGCATCAGGAGCACAACCAACAACGTGGAATGATTCCAAAGGTTATTTCATCAGATTTGTTGCAGAGCAAGTGTGCCATATACTTCAGAGCTCTTTTATGTGTAATTTAATGTTGAAAAGGTGTCTGAAGGGAAGACTTTCCATGAATTTCATCTTCAGCTGTTTATTATGATTACTTACATGTTTATTAAACTGAAGATACCTGTATTCAGTAAACTAAGCAAGTCCTGTGTTACCTCAGCGACTTCAAAATTATCCTGCAGTGCGCACAGTTAATGTGCAGCTTTGGAGTTAAGTTCTGTTTCAGTACTTTGTTTTGTAATAATGTACAATTATTTTACAACTTTGGGAGATTTAAGTCCTATTTTGGCTGTGCACAGGACTCTGGCCTGTTGAAGCACAGCAGTGTTTCGGTGTGCCAGTTTTTCTGTTCTAAAAGGTAGGTGGTGCTGCCGATGTTTCTCAGGGTGCTGTAAGATCTACATACAAACTCGGTTGTTTCTTTTAAAGCTACTAGTTTGGAAGAAAAGATTACTGTAACTCTACAAGATGAAAAGGCTTTGTTTCATTTTTATTTTGTTACCTCCTAGCAATACTTTGTAGGACACTAGGTATGTTCTTCACTAAGCACATCAACGTCCCATCGCATATTTCTGTTGCACCGAGTCTGTTCTCATTTCTCTCCAACTCTGGGTACTGTGCCATGAGTTTTACAGACATTTTTCCCTCCCCTGAGCAGTAGCGTAAAAGCCCACCTCTGTTGTTTTTCCCAGACATTGCTGTGTGACAGTTATTGCCTATACTTACGTGGAGTAGTGAGGAGGAAAAGGGGCAGGGGCGGCATGATAATACAGCTTAAAAGAACGGACAAGAGGAAGAGAGGGAAAGCCAACTCTGCTATGTAGGGATTTTTGTAACTAGGCCTACAATGACTTGCACATAACTATGTCAGTGTTGCACAAAGCTTTCACTGTTTCGCTATGTATGCGTTCCTAATTCATCTCAGTATACATCTTATGGCAAATGAATAGCAGTTGTTTGTTAAATTTGATGCATGATTTAGCTTAAATAACTTTAAAGGCATATTTTACCCTGATGGCTTCTCTGTTCCCTTCGATTTGGTTTGTTAGTGATGAAATAATAATGGTGACTCTTTGAGCAGCATTGCTGCGGATAGCATGACATGTCTGAGACTGGAGCCCTATCCTACCGAATCCAAATGCTCAAGAGGTGCTCTGGATACTCCACCACTACCTCCCTCTCACAACAAATGGTGTGCGGGTGATGCAGGGCAGGCGTGCAGATTCTGAGCATGGCTACAGATCTTGCCATAGAAGAGGAAAGAAATCTGTCTTTCATCCTAATTATTTCAGAGTTCATATTGTTGCTGAAAGATGCGTGTGGAAAACAAATGCAGAGATTAAATTGCTGGCTTTGGTGGGAAGGGGAACAAACAGGGAAGCAAACACCGGGAACTGCCAGAACCAGTGGGATCAGTGGCTGAATGAAAACCACTCAGAAATACTGACTCTGAATCCCACATGAACAGTACATTTTGTGGTGTCTTCCTTTTGAACCTTAAACAGGTTTGAGATTTTGATATACTGACCATAATTTATAGTAGTTTCAAAGTATGGGTGAGTAGTGTGCTGTCTTAACGTGATTCGTAACAATTCTGCAGAGGTACTAATCAAATATCGTCAGTAACAAAGAAAAAGAAGTGCTTTGCGTGAGCAAGGGGAAATCACTGCTACCATTGTGTACTTTTAATTAACATGTGTATGAGACCTAGGATGTTACTAGCACAGACTGAGTTTGGTGAGGCCAGTTAACATGGCAGCTATGTTAATATGTGAGCAGATGTCTCTGTTGCGCCCTGTTGTTTTCCAAAAGGTCTCTTCCCATCTAAAATGTATTTTCTTAAATGTTTCTCCATCCTCAGAGACATGCAGAGAGCGAGTGAGCTGCGAAGGACCAAAATTCCTTAGTTTGTCTAGATGTCCCTGTACCTTTCCAAAGGCTACTTAGAAAACTTTTTTAGTACAAAATATGTATGTCTCTGTAAAGTCTGCTTAGTGTTATTAAACAAGTAAAGGTTCTTTCCCTGTGACCCTGGTGCTCTCTGTGTGTCGGCACTAAAGCAGCCTGTGTATTTGGTGATTTTTGTTGCTGTTGTTTGCTTTTTTCTTAAGGGGATACCAGCAACAGGATGCCCATGAGTTCATGCGTTACCTTTTGGACCATCTACACCTGGAACTCCAGGGTGGCTTCAATGGCGTTTCACGTTCAGTGATTTTGCAAGACAATTCTAGCCTGTCTGCAAGCAACAAATGTTGCATGTAAGGAGTGTTTTTTAATTTCTTCAAAACCTCTGATGCCTTTGTATGGGTCTGTGTGGTGGATCTGAAATTTCAAATTCATAGTTCCTTGTTTAAGTTGTCTTTTGTGCCTCTGTAATGCTACGACTTCCAAAACTGCAGGTTACAAAGGCTTAGCGTCTTGTAGGATGTGCTTCCTTTCAAAAGGAAGTGTTGTAGATCAGCATTTTTCACAGGTGTCAGTAAGCATACAGGCTAAGTTGTAAACACATTTTAATTCATTAGTCTTTTAGAAATAAAAAGAAGGGACTCTGTATTTTCTATTCTATACCCATACAGAATTCTTTCTTCTGTTCAGGCAATCTCATTGTCTTAGGGCGACAGATGGCCTGAATGGTACAGGAGCAAAAAAGATGTCCAAGTATTTGTAGGTTTAAATTGTCAGCAGACCTCCTGGATTAACGACTGAGCGATGCAGTTACAGTTTGAAGTCAATTTTCTAGCAGATCATCTTGCTATATTGGCATATCATTTGACGCAGTTAAAGCTGTTGCTTTTTCTCCCGGTAATTTTGATTTTCATGTTACTGCGTATCTTAAAACAGAGGTAATCCATGTGTTTCACACCTCTTTCTATACTTCTCAAAATACTCGTTTCTGAATTCTGTCCCAGGTGTGTTTTCTCTCAGATTGAAACTGTCACAGAGAGAAAACATTTTAATTTGCTTTAGGAAGGAATGCTAAGTCAGTTCAGCCTCCTTGGATTTCCTATGTAAGAGCTGAGTGAGTGAGTTTTCCCTTCCTGTATTGGGCAGGACATTGTAAGCTGGTCTGAGAGGTGCAGGATTTTATAGATGCTGCATTAGGGAAAGCCTAGAGTTCAGACTGTGCTCTTCACCACATTGGTGTTGCTTTGCTGATGCTTAAAAATCCCACAAAACAATCTTAAAATATTCCTAGATTTGAAGTGTATTTGAAAACTAAACCAATTTTATCAAGATTTTAATGTCACAACCCAAGGAGAATTTAAACTTTGTTAACATAGCTACTGTAGATCTGTCTTGAGAATGGCTGTTCAAATGCGAGGTGAGGTGGAATAAGCTGCCTTCTGTCGAGGGCAGATTAAGGTGACATACACATAAATGCCTACAGTGAAGTAATAAATATGCTGTGACTGCTGACTTCTTGGGTAGCCATTTCCTTCTGCTCACCAAGAAGTGTTCAGATTAACTGTAAAGATGTAGGTGGAGTGCAGATAAGGAACACAGGTTTCTGCAGGCTTGTAGTGTCAGATCTGCAAGCACAAACTAGCAAGTTCAAGACTTGTATAATAATAAAATTTTTTTTCAATTGGCCTATGAAAAGTAAGTCCATTACATAATCTCTTGAAAAGATTAAGAGTAATGAAAGCATAGAGAACAATGATGATGCATATTGTTTATCATATCTTAATGCAACTTAAGTGAAGTGCAGAAATATGCTTTAAGAAGTCAAAATTACTTGTAACAAAAGGTGTAGCATTAAAACAAAAAATACGCTCGCCCTACCTAAGAGGGAAGAATGTTTCTTTCAGAAACAGCCTTAACTACAGGGTTAAAATATTGTATCTGTGTCAGCATCAGCTCTCCACTGTAGAAATGCAATCAACCAGAATACTTTCAACACCGACATTTTGAGCATCTGCTTAGAGCATGTGCAGTTCACGCTTCCTTTAGGTACAAGGTAAAGCAAAAGTATAGCGGGTCATTACTTGCACTGTACAGTTCTGGGGTGAGTGAAATGCCCAGTGGATGAACTCAGTGACTGTTTCTTACCCATCGACAAAACAGCTCTGCCTAGTAGCAGTGAGCTGTAAGCAGTAAACATGTAACAGGTATAGAAAATTAAGTGCCGACTTTTTGACTGACTTCTTTTTACTTCTCTGATGTGGTTTGTCTAGAAATGGAGCGTCTACTGTTGTCACAGCGATTTTTGGAGGTATTCTTCAAAATGAAGTCAACTGCCTAATATGTGGGACTGAATCTAGAAAGTTTGACCCATTCCTCGGTAAGGTCCCTCTTGCTTTCAAAATAGTGGCTGGCTGACTTAAGGCAGAAAAACAAATCTGAAGCTTGATATATTTGGATGTCAAATGACTGAACCAAAGTTTTAGCTTGAAAAGATTAGACGTTGTGTTTTTCAGTCCTAATTTTTTTTAAATCTTTGTTTTGCTAGACCTTTCACTAGATATTCCAAGTCAGTTCAGAAATAAACGTACTAAAAACCAAGAAAGTGGACCAATGTGCACACTACGAGGTAAGAGTGCTTCAATAATGAAATCATTACCAGGACTAAGAGTATATACTCTTCAGAGTATCTTATTTCAGAGAAGCCAAGCTTTCACCTAGGGTGTGACTTGGTGTCACGTGCCATCTAATGAGCTTCTGTGGTAGATGGTGCCAAAATGATTCTCCATGCAGGTTTTACCCCAGTCACTGTGTACTGACATACTACTGTGATGATAAACTGGGGCTGAGAAGTGCTTCAGGAGGTCAGCTAAATATCACAGAGAATTCCAGCAGAGGTTTTAATTTGTGGTCAGAGTGTTTCAAATGTATTCCAGTCTTTCCAACCCGCACTCATCTGCATTGTTGCCTACTGGCATTTGCTAAGGCTGTGCCTAGAAGTATGTGCCCCTTGCGCATAGTAAGGGTGGCTCTTTGGTGTTCTGCTTTTTAAACAACATAAATACAGTCCTGCAAAGTTGAGCAGTAGTGCTGTTACTGACCTTGTTTTAAAGGATGTTAATTTTTACAGATCTATGAATATACTTGCTGCAGATTGTGAAATGTTAATCAAAGCCCCATTATTTTCTCTGTTCTCTTAGTGCTTGAAACTAAATCATCTTTAAAAGTTGAATATTCTAACAAAGTCATTAGGTTTCTTTTGAAAATAGTTGTGCTGAATGTTGAGTGGAATCTTGTTTGAAAGATGGAAATTTCGTGAATGCCTTTTTCTTTCCTTTCTTGAACTGCTTATAGCTGTGTTTTCAGGAATAGGGAATGCTGCATGTTACAACATGTTATTGTATTAAAGCATTACACAGCTTTTTTGTTGCACAAACGTATATAACTACTAGAATTGACTGCAGCAGCTATGCACACCTTTTCTATATTGCTGTATTTGTTGTATTTCATGTTACAAAAAACACCTGATGTCATATTGAATCAGGTTTCTTTGGGTGTTTTGAATTTGTATCTTGTTCTTTTTAGATTGTCTTCGCAGTTTTACAGACCTGGAAGAACTTGATGAGACAGAGCTGTATATGTGTCACAAATGCAAGAAGAAACAGAAGTCCACCAAAAAATTCTGGATTCAGAAACTACCAAAGGTTCGTATAAGCATGAAAAGTAACAGTGTGACAATCTGTCAAAGGAAATAATGACTTAGCCTACAGTAGGCTCAGGCGTTGGTCTGCTAATGGCTATTGCAGATGTCTGGCACTAAGTTCAACCTCTTCCTCTAATGCATCCATTATTTATTTATTTTTTTTAATCCTGTAGGTGCTGTGCTTACACTTGAAACGATTTCACTGGACAGCGTATCTGAGAAACAAGGTTGATACATACGTTGAGTTTCCCTTAAGAGGCCTAGACATGAAATGCTACTTGTTAGAGGTACGAAGACTCATCAGTGACATTCTGTAGAAATGTGTTCCATGACATACGTCTTTATTACAAATTATAGTAGGTCTTATAGAGCTTTGAAGAGTTTTCTCTCTTTTTAACCACAGCCTGAAAACAGTGGCCCAGAAAGCTGCCTGTATGACCTTGTGGCTGTTGTTGTGCATCATGGTTCAGGGTAAGTACATGGAGTAAGCCTGCTTCTTGGCAGAGGCCTTCTCCCCATTGAAGGACATGCAGAGTTAATGAAGGTTTTTCTGTCCCTAGTGAATGTCTGTATTTTTACTAGTGGAAATAAGCAGTAATTTATAACCTTACATGGAACTAAGCTGAATTAACTTCAGACAGACTGATGTAGTTATTCCTGTGAATGCCCATGGGCAGTCTTTGGGGGTAATGACTAGAAGCGTGAGACGAAATGAAAATAGTCTAGTTCCTCTAGGAATGAAAAGCCCTAAACCAACAGAGTGAATTCAAGGGGCCTTCCAAAAGTTAACACCTCATTTTGAACTTCTTAGTACAAAGCAGAAATATTTCTTCCTTTTTTATTCCCTTTGAAAGGCGCATGTGCATTTATGCCAAAAGAGCGCGTGTGCACATTTGGAACAACTGCAGACTTAAGATTGGCACAGTGAAAGCAATTGTCCTGTATTATCTTCTGTCCTACAGGCGTGAACGCTAACAACCAGGCATGCCACAAGGCGCAGCTAGTGTTTGTGTTTTGAAGTAAAGTTGCTGGGTGTGCTTTGTTTCACTTTTTTCCTTTTCCCAGCCCAGGATGGATCTGTTGAGAGTAACAGTATTAGGAACAAGACAACTGTTTATCCTGAGAGAAATGTGTTCTTGTTGCTTAGGCAATCACTGCATGGGTGTGAGCTCCAAAAGGGGTTTTCTTAAAGAAACCAAACTCCGTTAATCAAAACCGTGCTGATACCAGACTTTAAATCAAAGATACTAAACCAAAAGTTCTGTCCAGAAAGCCTCTCCTTTTGCTTTCTCTAGAGGAATGGTCTGGACTCTTAGACATATTTGACTACTAAAGGCAGCCCTTGTAGCACCACAGTGCATCTGACTGGTGCTTCAAAGTCATAGAAAAACTATATGGACAGCAAAGGAAAGCTGGTCATGATTTGAATGGAATTAAGATGGTTGGAAACATTGAGCGTGTGTTATAACATGTAAGCACGTGAAAGCAGGCCTCATCTTGGGCTGGCAGGGTAATGAAAATGGATGGGTTCGTAGTTCTGGTTTGTTAGATTAAAGCAATATGGCTCCAAGATGTGGATATGTTTAAGATGATCTGAAAAACTTTCTTCTTGGTATTCTGGTTAGGTTTGCTGTGAGTGCTTTTGAGATTAGAGAGACTCGCATAGTCTAAATATAGACCTAAATGGGGAAGATTTCTGAAAACAGAGAAATTTTTATAGCTGATGCTTGAATAATAACAGATAATAGGCCTGATTTTTTTTTTTTACGTAGGCAAACATGGAAGTTCAGTGTTGCAATAAGCCTTGCTTGCACAAAAACTATGGGATGGTAATAGGTTCATTAAAAAAAACAAAACCAACCTTTTCAACTCATCCCAGTAAGTGATTATCTTAACATAAAACTAGAATTTGGAGAACTTTGAGCCCCACAGGTTAAGGAGGGAAGCATCTTACCAACTGTTGTGGAGGGCTGTCAGTTCCTTTCTTCCTCTGGTTCCTGGAGGTCTCTTAGCCCTAATAGAAAATGCATCGGCGAATGAGGTGGTCTGTCTCCTTCTGATTGTTCTTTCTTTCCCTGCCTCACCCCACTGACAGCGTTGGCTCTGGACATTACACCGCATATGCAGCTCATGAAGGCCGTTGGTTCCATTTCAACGACAGTACTGTAACTTTGACCGACGAGGAGACTGTGGTAAAGGCCAAGGCCTACATCCTCTTCTACGTAGAACGGCAAGCCAAATCTGGATCAGATAAACTTTAATACCTCCTTTTAATTCTTACTTATCAAGTCCACCGGACAAAACATTTCCATTTTTCCATAAATACTTGATCCAAGACTATTAATTTCATTGTGCACTTTTCAATTTCCTCTTGTGGGTTTTAGTTTTGTTGTGTCAATGGTAGCATTTGACTTACTGAACTTGGACACAAACTAACTTTTTTTTTAGTTATACCAGAAAACCTCAGCAGATTTTGATTTGCTGCTTTAGTTGCGATAACTCAATTTTTATATATATATATATAGTTTCATGAAATAGTTATTGGACTTTTTTTATATTAATGTTTTCAGTTCTCACTTTCTAAAGGCACATTTACATCAGAGAAGCTTTCTGTCCTCCTTCCAAGCAAGATAAATGTGCTTCTGATTATGAAGAGCAATACAACTTCATGCTGTTCTCACAGCTGTTATGTAGATATGATTTAATCTTTTTAAATCAAGGAATTGTTTGCACGTGCTATTTTCCCTCGTGCAAGAAACTAAACAGTGACCTCTGAACAATCATTCTTTGTCTGCAGAAGAGAGGAGGTGGGGTGTCATTAAATAGACCAGGTAATTGCTGCTATATTGGTGTGTATTCAGGCTGCTGACTTTCAGGAATCATTGTAAATAAACAGTTGGTTCAATTGTATCAATACTGCAGTTTAATTCAAGTATTCCTCACATGTGCTCTGCCCTCCCCCCCTTAAAATTTTAAAAAATTATCTTAAATATACATGTCTAAATTGCATTGAGATCTATGTTTTTTTAACTGAACCTGAATTGCCTTAGACATCTGTTTTAGACTGTGATCCTGAAATTTGGTCAAGAACACTTACTTGCTTGAAAACTTGGAGACTTCCTGGCAGTGGGACTCCCAACCCTTCTTCCTGGTGGGAGCTGGGAGTACAGCCCCAAAGTTCGGGGTTTGCGAGAACAGTCTTAGGTCTAAATATAGCTCCTGGCTACTAAATGCCTGTAGTTCACTTAAAACTGAAAGGAAGCCGATGGTGTTCCAGATGCTTTGCGTGACAATTGTTTTATCAGTTCAAATGCAAACTAAAGGGAAGATGCTGGGTTTCACAACATAGCCCGCCTGATGGGAGATGATGAGCCCAGACTGCTTGGTGACCCGTAGCTGTAGTAACTATGCATTGGCCCAGTGCGGGATCTTTATTTCCAGTGTCTAGTCAAACACTGGAGGCATGATATAATTTCTAAAACTTGGTTATGTAATGGAGAAAGAATTCTGTTAAAAAAATCTCAACTGAATTTTAAAAAAGGTGGACAGGAAAACCAGGATTGCAAAAGCCAGGAGTCCTCCCAAAAATGTCAAATTTGACAAATGCTACATTTCGGTTCTCTTCCACCATTCCATCCTTTCCAGCTAGCCCCCATGTGCCTAGCAAGGAATTGGACACTCCTAAAATCTCAAAAGTATGGTAGTAAGAGTAGAATTTACTTACTGTAGTAAATTACTTGTGTAATTGTACACAATCAAACAGCACCTTTTACTTGTGGTAACAGTAAAATATAGTAGTCTGAAAACACACAAGAACTCAAGTAAAATGTGATTACCTTTTTTAGTTAATGCTTCTGAAAGACACCATAGTACACAGTAAAAAATTTCCCTACAGATTGTACCATAGCTTAACCTGGTACACATGGAGTACGCATCAATTTCCTTGCTGTGGGTTACCTGCTAGCTGTATACTGACAAGTATAAAGAGAAATTGCAGTCAATCAGATTTTTTTTTTTTAAAAAGGTCATTCTTCCTAGTTTTTTCACAGCATCTTAAACCAGGAAAGCGAGAAATTGGCTTAATGTAAAACTGCAGAAAGCATTCAGCATTGCTAATAGTTTATGAATAAGGAAACTGTATGCTAGTTTAAACCTATTGTGATTATTATTTGATACACTGACATATATAAGGATGTCTTTTACTTAAGTAAGTTGAACAATAAATAGAACTATTAATTGCTTTACATTGTAAATAGTTTGTCACCTACCACTTCTCCATTTCTTGCAGCCAGAGCCTTTCTTCTGTACAGAATAGGTAGCCGTTACCATCTATACAGGCAGAAAAAGGTATTTGACAGACTGCACTGGTGTGTGGGGCAAGTGAAGTATCTTACCACATTATTACCCTGAAGGGCAGCCTTACTGTTAGTTGGAGAGTTAAGTAGATTCCATCTATAGCTTCGTTTTGTCTGCGTGCTATGTGGATTGGATTCCTTTAGGACTTTAGTTTTGAGAATACAAAGCTTAAAATACACAACTAGCTACGGGCCAGAAGCAGTTTAACTTAGTGAGGTGTATGCAGTGTTCTCGCAAACCAGTGATGTAAATGTGCCTTTCTGTATTTTTAGAAACTTAAATTTGTAATCTTCAGCAACATTCACTTATTTTAAGCAGCTTCTACATCTCCAGTTAATTTTTTGGGGTCAGAGTTATGCTCTTACTTCAGTATTTCCTTTCAGTAACATTTGCTCTGTAACATTAAGGTCTTGGGCAATGGTATCTATCCAGCATGGTCCATTTTTGAGACACGGCCATGGGAACACAATGCAATCCTGTCAGGCTTGTTGCAGCAGGTGGTGACTAAGGACTCGGCCATATGCTTTGCTGGAACAAGTACATTGTAAATCCTTTCCCAATTTAACTTTCTCCCACTGCAAACCCAGATGGACAGTATGAACAGTTTGTTGTGGCAACACAAGTATTTCTCTTCCTGGTGGAGAACTTTGCTTATCCACTGTATTCTATTCAGTGTGGTGTCAAAAAAAAAAATTCGGTGGGGTGTAAAAAAAAAAAAAAAAAAAAGGTAACTGAGCACTGAACCAGTAACATATACTGCACCTGGCCTAGTACTACATTTTTAACCTTACTTGTATATCCTATATTTATCTACTAGTGGCGGGGGCGGTGGGGGGGATATCTTATTTCATTTAAGCCAAATGTTTCTTTTCTACTTACTGCTGATCATAGTACACGCTAACTGGCAAGAATTTTTTTCTTGCTTGTGACTTCTGCAAGCAACAACTGCTCTCTACAGTTCAAAGACTTGCATATTTTTCACCAAAATTTGTCTGATCAAAGGTTGTCCTTTTGTTAGTAATTGTTTAGCCACGTATACAACTGGAGACAAGATTGATGTAAAACAAAACTACAAAATGTCCAGCTCTCAGAATACTTCTGCTGTAGTGTGTTTGTATAGTGAGCTGTTAAGAAGTCCAGCATTATGCAAAACTCTAAGGCACTTACAAACAGAGCTCCTTCTCATCGTATAGCCAGAAGGTGCGTTCCAGGTGGCAGCAGAAGTCAGCGTGAGAGGAGTTTAAAACTTTCAGACAGGCAGGGACAGCGGAGTTGTATCAGAAGCAGGAGACCATTTATAAGGATTTTACTAAATCAATGGAAAGCATAACACGTGGTGTTCAAAAGTTTCCCCAACAATGTTTCATTGCTGATGTGTCTGTGTCTTACTGATGAGGTAGCCAGCACCTTGACAATTGATTCCAATGTGCTTTAGGATATCCTCAAGTACTGTAGTGCCATAGTTGTAATTGTTTACCATTAAAATCTAGTGTGTAATTTTCAGTGAGGATTACTGACTGTGCTCATCTGGTGTGTTTCTGGAGTGTTTCCAGGTTGAATGTGAATTCTCTCTCACTCACACAGTGTGTTTATGGAAAATGTGCCATTAAAGTGTCTCCTTTCCTTAGAAAATGAAATTCCTCTTGTCCTTCTACAGGCTTACAGAACATCATTAGTTTAAATCCTTTGAACACGGTATTTTACCTTGTTCTGGGGAAAACAAAATAAAGCAAATTGAAGTGTTCCCACAATTTAACTTAGTGTCTGAACCCAAGGGGACCTGCTGTTCAATTTTAAAGGGCCTTGTCACCCAACAGCTGTTAATTTTTATGTCAGATTGTGGTAAGAGGAGTTCATCCTAGCAGTGGCAACCTTGTCATTCAAGTTTGCTTGCTTGCGTTTTTTATACATAATACTCCTCTGTGTATTACAACTCTGAGCAGTCTCAACTATTTAAACCTGCTCAAAAATGAAGGTAAGTTCTGAAAAAGATGAAAGGACAGAGTGAGGGTTGAAAATGCTAGTACAGGAAGAGAGAACAACAGCTGCTGGCACACCATTTAAGCTGCTCTTCTCCAGTGACTGGCTTACCTGGTATGTGCAATCACCTACTCTTCGTGTCCCTTTTGGCTTCATAAAGTACTCATGCCACTGTCTGTAGCTTGTTTCAGAGCATGGGTAGGGAGCAGGAATCTCCTCCTCCTTTCAAGGAAAATATTAAGTGACGAAGGATATGAAACCAAAAAGACTGGTAATTGTTAAGCACAGCTTACCATATATAATAGAAAATTACTAAGTAAAGAATTCAACAGACCCACAGTTGCCATTTTTTGAGTCACTGTGTGTAGGCATACACATTACTCAAGCACAGATAAGAACCTAAAATAACTGTTGGAGACTGCAAACAAATTTCAAATCTTGTTTTTCAGAGCTGAATTTCAACCTGCATTCTCAGGGTTGGTCTCAATATTGAAACAAACCCAATTAAAAGGCACACGTGCATAAAATCGCCCAGCTACTAGAAACATGCAAGCCACTTGAAAAATTCCTGCAGTGCTATTTTACTGTTAGTGTCTACTGATTAGTAATTACCTTAATCTTGAGCTTTTTTATTTCATAAACATGAAAGTTATAGGGCTGTCCATTGTTGCTTTTAATTCTAACCTGCCATTTGCTATAGCTTTATTTTTTCTTCTTGGAGAGACCTGTCCCATTACTGGAAAACAAACACTTTCACTCCTAAAACCAATGCTCTATATTGTTTTCCCACCAAAACTCCCAAGTCTACGCTAACAGAACTAACCCTACAAAACCACCACAAAAAAACTTGTAAAACTCAAGCTAATAGAAGACATCTATTAAGAAGCACAACCCTACAAACAGCTAAACATAGACCTGCTGTTCCCGTGCATGTCTTCCTGTGCATCATTACTTCCCTCATGCAAAAGGCAGGGAAACAGCTAGCTTTGTTTATTCAAGTAACAGTGGGCAGGAAACTGCCCGTAAGGCTGAGGCTTGTCAAGGGAAGCTGCAGCGTGTGTGTGAGTGTGCACGCTTTAAAGCACTCAGCTTATTTTTCAGCTCATTTTACAAGCTGTTTGTGAAATTTCATTATCCGGAATAGCAATCCAATGAGGCAAAAGTGCAACCTTAGAAAAATCAATGAACAAATAAAGGCTGAAATTGTTGTACACTGCAAAACCAAAGTTCTGCTCAGAAAGCCAAATCCTTCAAACTTGAGAGGCTGGCAAAGCTACTCCTTGCAGCTCCAGCTCCCCGCTCCCCTCCCCCCAGTTCAGTAACTTAGCACAAGAAGTTTGCTGAACTTCAGGAGTGCCCACGGGGCGGGGGGAAAATCCCTTTTAAGGAAACGTTTCATGAAGTGCTGCTCTGCTCCATGCCCATTCCATTCCCTTGTAGAAACATAGCAAGAGTTTCATGCATGCATGTTTCTTGTCCCTTCCCTGTTCTTAGCCCCTGCACCAGTTGTTCGCCAAAAATAAACACCATTCCACAACCATATATGTGCAACAGCCTTCTGGTGACTCTGAGCCCCCTCCAGCACTGCCATTATTCCACGAGGGCAGGAGACTGTCTTCTTTCTAACGCTCTGACGGGCTATGCATATAACCCAGCTGAATCGGGAATGCCTTTTACATCTATTTTCTTTTCTGGACAAAAATAGTAGGAAAAGTTTAGCAAAAACATGTCACAAGTTGCTAGAAGTGTTTCAGGATCCTTTACTGTGGTCTTTGTTGAACTTTCATTCTCCAGTGGAACTAAAGAAGGATAATTTTATTCTGGGACCTGCTTTAAAATACTTATCCATCTGCTGGTATTCAGAGAGAGTCAAGATGTGTAACATTGAGGATTGGATGAAAAACAATTTCCAGAAAGATTTTTGTAACAGGCATGAAAACACAGTCAATGACTTTTTAACAGAAGTTTGCGACAGGTACGTTCTTGGGTGTGAAACTCTACATCTACTGTAAAGGTTAACTGCCTTGAAATGAGAGAATTGAGAGCTGCTTACTCTACTCCATACATCCTACCTGAAATGGAGCATTAAGTACGTGAGTGCTTTGACTTTGCCGTTTTAATGTGGTGTTAAGTTGGTTTTATAGTGGCAATAGCATATACTTCATATTGACTTTCCTTAAGCCTATTTTTTTGCTTCCTTTTTTTTTTTCTTTAAAGAATGAATAATTAATATCGTGCAATACTGCCTGCTAAATTGCTGCCTCATTAAAATGTACCATTCTGGCAGTGCAAAGCATTGCCTAGGGGGCGGCCCTAGAGGAAAGACATGATTTCAAATAGTGAATACACGTCATAACAAAATCAAGTTCATTAAACATGTTACTGAACAGCAGATTTGTTTCATTCTAAGAAATAAGTATTGCTTTTATATTGAAATTTAACTCTTGTCTTAGCTTTTTTTACAAACTACAGTAAAGGAAAAGAAACACCACTATAGAAAAAGCAGCTCTGAGCGCACACCATTTCTTATAACAGCTTTACTGCTACAAAGCAGCTCTAAGAAAAACAGCTAAATTACATCAGGAGGAGCAAACAGGGTAGAGCCAGTCCTAGGGTTCTAGTAACACCAAGGATGGCTGTGGTCCTAGATTACAGCTGAAAGGGGCACGTCAGTGCCTACCTGAAATGGCAGACTTTTGTGCTGCAGCCAGCCCTCAGCTTTGTGCCACAACATGGAAAGCAAAAAGTTCTATTTGGAAGTAACAATTAAAAAAACCCAGCAAATTACAGGACCGAAGTGTCTTGGTGAGAACCAGCAACAGTGCAGCCTGAAAACAAAGACTGAAATATAGGTTCAAAACAGAACATTAAGTTGCAAGTACAAAATTTCAGAAGTACTTGTTCTGTAACTGATAAAAAATTTGGATTAATTAGGAAAGTATCACTAGGAAGCACATCTGTGCCTACAAAGAGGGAGCGTAGGAGGAAGTAGTCTCTCATTTTGGTACTGGAATGTCTACCATGAGGCCACGCTTAAGTGTTTGTGTTTTTTTTTCATCACAAATTAGGATTCAGAAAGAGGACACAAGACCACAGCTCTGCAGAAATAGTTTAAGTGCCTTTCTCCTCTGCAGAATCCGTAACACCAGACTGGTTGCTGGACAAAATTCAAAGAAAAGCCTGTAGAGTAGTAAGCAATCTCAAAGTCCATCAAAATCTAGCAAATGCCTTTCAGCAGCCTTACATGGATTCGTTTCCACAACTTAAACTGAACTCTTAAAAAATGACAGTTTATATTGACACTCAGCTCCCCCTCCCACCTCAGCCTTCCTAAGACACATTCTTGCGTTTTTTTGTAGCAACCCATTGAAAGCATTTCCCTCTGAACAAAATTCTTAGCACTCTGTGCAAAGAGAAATGCAAATTAAACAGATATCCAGCTTTTCTCCTTGAGTTTGGAGTACTTTTATTCTGTTGATGAAGCCGTAAGAGATGGCAGGTTGGAGCCTTTCTTGACCTTGCCTGCTTTAAAACATTTGTTTTTCTAACTTCGTAAGTGTAAAGGAAAAGAGTGAAAAAAAAAAAAAAAATCATGCAGGTGACATGATCTCATACTACTTTTGCTCCAAAGGTGAAGGGAAGCAGGGGATGGGGTGGGGTGTAGAGAAAGAGGAATGTACTATGTACCAGTTTTTAAGAACATGCTGCAGGGATGGCAGAGTCACCCCTGCTGTTGGACACCTAAAACCCTGATACAGCTGCAAGCACATCTTTACACAGAAGTGCTTACAGACACCTTACAGTTCTTACAGGATGGAGGCAGGCTAATAGTTCTGTCCAAAGATCTCACAAGATCAACGTTAGCATTGCTGTAATCATTCCCCCCCACAACAACAGAGCCTAAAGAAGTCCTGTGCTAACAGAGGAACATTAAGCTGCGTGTAGCGAAACAGATGGACAGCTGCACTGCTGCTCCCTGGAGAGAGGTGTAAGCCAGAAACCAAACACTGTACAAAAGGCTTTGCAGGTTGGTGCACAAGGGACCTTGGAAACATGCCTGGTCAGCACAACAGCTAGTAATAACTGGTCTGCTCCAGATTTCTGTACAAGGACAGTTAGCATAAGTCATCAACACACTGACTTGGAACAGGGCCTTTCTCTACTTTCCTAGGTCTACCCAAGCAACAAAAAAAATTTCTTAATTTGCTGCATCATTGTTTAACAGTGGAGTTCTTACTCGTTCTAGCGATTTGAAGGAAGGTTTCAAAGCTGCATGGCTTAGGTAGTAGTTGGCACCTATTCAGTAAATCCAAGGAGCTGAAATTCATCCATTAATCCCCGTTAAAAAAATCAAGAGTGGGAGTGCTTTACTTGCCCATGTTCAGCATGTCTACTCAACTGTCCTCAACTTCATCCTGACTTAAATCTCATCTCTACTGAGTCTTCATTCGCTGCGCATGCTTAAGAGAAAACAATGCAGATGCAGCTTAAATAGGCATCCGCGTCCCCTTCCCCACTATGCCAACCGAGCTATAGATACTGCTACTGACGGAAAAGCAAAGAAGGCAAGTTTTGCAATTAGTAAAGCTGAGCATTAGGATGTACATATGCCCCACCTACTCATGCATTCGTACTCCTCCTGATGGAGTTATTTTTCTAACTTTAATATTTATTCTTGACAATACTAGATTCTCCAAGCTCTGTTGTTTATTTTTCCCCTCATGTCACCTGTCATGATCATGTTTTCAGATGTCCAAACTTGCTCTCTCTGACCCTCTCTGGATGTGGCCATGTTACAGACAATTGCATCTTGCTTCTTCTCAAGAACTGCCCAAACCTCAAGACGCTCAAACTGGAAAACTGTGTGCGGATCACTGACCAGACACTAGAAGCAGTGACCCTCTATGGGGGATCGCTGCGAACGCTCCACGTGGATTTCTGCCGGAACATAACGCAAACTGGTCTAGAGAGAGTCAGGGAAAAATGTCCTTTGGTAATCCTGAGAGCAGAGAGAAGTGCTAACATGATTCCAGACAATAAGCCAGAAAAAAAGTTGGTGCTTGAAAAAGCATCTAGAAAACTGGTTCAGCTTTAAGTGCAACAAATTGTACAATGTGTATAATCAGTCCATGTGGGTATTTTACTTCACTTCTGCCCTCCTCTTGGGTAGCACTGTGTGTTTCAATGAACTGTGGCTACTTTCCTGCATTCTGGTTTTAAGTCCAAACAAATGGTTGGTATGTTTTGTAAAGGCTGCACTGGGAAAAGGCATGCATCTCCACCAGGACAGTCTAAAGGAAAAAACCTGTTTGCTTTCTGTTGTTCCTTGAAACTGGAAAACACTGCATTGCTGTCACAAAATGCTAGACCTGGTTAAGGCTGCAAACTGGAATTTTGGTACCCTCTTGTCACGGATGAGTGGAACGCACCTCACTCGCAAGAGAGAAGCAGCGGTATGTTTTATTGTGGTGAAATAATTTGACAGGGTTCAGTAAATTCGATGGAATTTAACAAAGTTTAACAGTGGTTTGACAAGGTTCAGTGAATTTGATGGCAAGGCTCACCTTATTAATTACCGCATGGAAGAAACACACAAAGGAAAACTGAGTTAGAATAGAGTTATAATGATTCACACAAAGACTAGACCACAAAGACACAAAGAGTAAGGAGGACCCTCCCGTTGAGTCACGAGGTTCAGAGTGGATCCTCTTGCTTTCTAAACTCCTTATGTAATGGGAAAGGGCATAAAGCCACAGCAGATGGAGCTTTGGTAATTGTATGATGTACACAAATTTCAGGG